CTGAGGCAGTGGTCCCAAAGGATAGGCTCTTTGGACCAACCAGATGAGAAAGAGCATCAGGCTCACAAAAATGTCTGTAGGCTTGTTAGAAATTGCAAGTGTCATAAATACGAATTATAGTTGGGGGAAAGGAAATTGTAAGAATATCCATGTGAAAATTAACTCGGACACTAATCTTCTAAAACCTGCAATCATAAGGAGTTTTCTTAATTCCTTTTTTTTTTTTTTTTTTTTGACCTATGAAACACATTTCTGATCAAATACTGTGCTCAAAGTTGGATGCTGTCCAGACCTGTCCCCGGCTGACACCTTTTGTATTTTCAGCTGTAGCATACCATCACTTTTCAGGGTCATGGCTGTGCTTAGAGTGAATATAAGAATTCAGGGACTCTTCCGATGGGGAAAACCTTGCTTCTCGATACCACACTGGATCCAGGCTCAGACCCCCACTTTGATCTCACAGCTCAGGGAGAGCAGGAGAAGCAGCTACTCCCAAGGAGAAGGTGCTGCCTTATGCAGGAGCAGCGGCTGGCAGCTCAAGAGAAGCCAGAAGACTGTTCCTAGCAGAAGCAGAGCACTACTGCTCAGCTGATTGATGGTATCATGCCCTTTTCTGTGTGCTTGGCACCACAGCTCCTCACTTCCAAGCAATGTATCTCTATATCTGTGTCTAAAAGAGGATCAACAGAATGCTTTCTGGAAATACCATGTACTTTCTATTTGCTTGTGTATCTCATAAAGGCAACCCCACAGGTAATGGGCACGTGAGTGCTTTAATTAACCCCTCTTTGCTCTCCTCACTCGTGCAGGCTGCTCTTTTACAGCTTTAGAAAACACCTTTTCATTGCTCACAGTTTGCATCATTGGCCTTTGCTGAGTCAGGAGTCATTCCTCAGACATTTTATTTGGAAACAGAAAGAAAGAAAGATGTTCTCTGAGGGAGCAGAGAAAGGGCTGTTCATACCGAGAGGGCTCAGGGCCAAAGGAACAGCCCATTTCAGAGTCCATCATGGTCCTTATTTCAGATGCATGTCCTACACAGTGCCACAGCAGCACAGATCAAGGAGATGATAGAACAAACACAGCAAGGAAGCGTGAGAGTGAATCAGCCTGACCCAGCACCAGCTTCCTGGGAAGAGTGTGGGTCGGAGGGCCAGAGGCTGTTAGCTATACGTGATGCTAAGAAAAACTATTTAGTCTTAACAGAGGACCCAATGTTAACTCCTATATCTAAGTCAATGTGTATGTTCCCTCTGATATCAGTGGGGCTCTCTTTGAGCCTAACAGGAAGACATTGTATAGAAAAACATGAATCTTACATATGTGTATGCATGTCTATGCATATATACTATATAGATACAGAAGTAAACCTATGTATATCCACTGCACATACACGTACAGCGGATCTTACTAGACTACAGGTATTTTGCCTGTTTTGCAGGACTTCGGTTGCCAGGTTTGTGCTCTTTCCAGCTGGGAAATACAAGGAGCAGAACAAAGCCTGTGGTTTTACTGCTGGCACATTTGCTTGTGAGCTTCAAATACCAGGCTTTGTCAGAGAGATAACCATATCTGTTAAATGGAGTTGGAGTCTAGTAATGAGCACATTTGCACAAGTAATCCTCATGGACGTGTTCTTGAGATCAGAGTTTGGGGACTCTGTGGTGCCAAGAAGAGGCGGCTTTGTCACTTGCTGTGTGTCACTACCTGTTCAATGCAGCCTAGTCCTACTAGGTTCAAGGAATAGGTTATCTTTGCATTTTCTATTCGCTGTCTCTTGTTGCAGAACCGGACTTGTTTGCCCTGTGACTAATCTCTCTTGCTCTAGTCCAGTCTTCATTAAGCAATTGCAGAGTCCAGCTTCCAGCTCCTATTCCAAAGCAGGTCAAAAGTCCTAAACCACCTGCTGAGATCAGAAAAGGTTGTTATGCTCATTAGCTTGAGTGCGGGGCACAGCAGGCTGCAGACAAAAATGGTTTTATCTGTAATGTTTTTTTAACAGCAGTCCTCAAGGCAGAGACTAAAGTGTGATTTGCAGCACATCTTGAGTGACTCAAAGCTGCTTTTATTCCAGAGGACCAAAGCCACAAAGTTTGACTCAGAGCTGACTTTGCATTTCCCTCAAAGCCAAGAGGTGAGGAAAAATATTTCCAGCTGAGACTCTGATTTCACCCCAGCAGACAATTTATCTTCAAACTTAAACCTAGACTTTCCTGAAGTGCTAGATTCCTGGCCTGTTTAGGGCTTTTCCACATTAACTACTTTTGCAGTTTAAAAAATAATATATCCATCATTCATTTCACCTCCTGAGGAATGCAATGAATACAAAAAAATGGGTCATAAACCCCACAGAATTATAACAGACATAAAAGACTAAAGGCAGAATTACAGGGAGTAGGTTGGGAAGGGCTTTGAGGGGTCGTGTAGCCCTCCCAAGGCATCTATCCTGGTGTATCCCACCTTTTCTTAGCCATCCTCCTATAAGAAGGTTTCTGAGTTTTCTACAGCTACACTGGAGTGAGAGAGAACTGAGGTCAGGCGTGGCAATGTGCTATTTTGCAGCTCAGTGTGGGCAAGGACTGCCTGTTACCTGACTCAGAACCAGAAGTCAGGCTCACCCAGACAAGCCCTGTATTAATACAGCAGCCTGCCCTCCGGGAGGGTCTCACAGCAAGTTTGGGCTTACTCAGAGCAAGCACGGTGATCTCTGCTGCTGCAGAAGCCCTTCCAGACGTGCCTGACGTTTCCAGTAGGACTGGCAGGAGCTCACGTGGAGCCGAGCTGAGGAAATATGCTCAGAAGGTAGAGTCCTTCCCTTCTGAGCCACCAAAAGTGCTGGCTGATACTGCTGCATCCTTACAGCAGCCCCAAGGCTCCAGCCTTTGTTCAGGTCTTCACAGTTGCAATGGGAACACTTCTGTAAAGATCTGATGAGGATGCTCAGAACAGATGCAACATTCTTGTACAAGGACAGACTGTGCAGTGAGCACAGCTAACCATTCCCTGGGTAACCTGTGTTTTGATAAGTCACTTGAATAATGGTCCTTATTCTAACCATCATCTCATTAGTCCCCAGCAGTTACGAGGCCACTGTCCTACAGGATCACTCCTGTGTTTTTTGCTGCTTGCTTTGTCTCTAACTCTGACATGGCTGGTGGATATTTTAAAGATACTGGGGAGGACCAGGTCATAGTCCTGAGCAAAGTTATTCATCCCCATCTTCTGAAGCCCAGGGCTCTTCCAGTGTTGCTGTTGCACCACATGAGCAATGCTGTGTCCAATGCACCTCCCCATGGGTCAGCCTGGGTCTGCTTCACTTCCCTGCCACTGCTCTCTCTTCATGGGTACAGGCCCTTTCACCCTGTAGCCCTGGCTGTGTGCTCACCAGCTTCTTACACGCCAGCCTTGCTCTGTGTGGTGTGACTGCTTCTTACCCGAGGCACCCTGCGTGTTTGCCTGTGAAGCTGGCCCAAATACTGCTTGGGCATTCCTGCCCCTGGAAGCATGCTCAGCCCTGGCACGAGGACCTGTGATCACCAGGGATGGCCTTTGGGAGCACAGCTGCTGGGAAAGAGGGCACCAGCCCTGTGGATGTGAGCCAAGGGGTCCAGCCTCTTCCATCAGGAGTCTGCCCTAGCACAATAGAGAAGAGAAAAAAAAGCACACAGCTAATACCATTATGTGAAAGAGCTTCCCCACTATGCCCAAACTGCCCAGTCAGCCTTGTCTTCTGCATCTTTTTTTCAGGGGGTGAGTCTGGGAATTGGCTCAGGACGGGTGGTGGAAAACAAAGCAGGAAGTGCTCAGGTGGTTTGGGGGTGTCACTCTTGGCCAAATGGAAGGAGCCCCGTCATAGAGAGCCTGTTGCATACCACCAGCCCTTTTCCTGTGCTCCGGGATGGGCACCGAGAATCAGAGCAAAGGGGGTTGTCTTTGATGTGCCAGTAACACATTTATTGTCTAATTTAGTGATTTTCCTCATTTAGCAAAAAACCAAAGCTGTCATGATAAAGGGACTGGTACGGCATTGCCAGTGGTGGTGGCAGCTTTTTCTGTAGAGAGCAGGGAGACATGCAAGGACAAATAGCTGGGCGACCTCTGGGACATGCTGTTTGCAGGGTTCTTTTACCAGCTTAACTTAGTTACTTGATTGGGAATCCCATAAGGCACAAAAACATTTCTATCTCAGTAACCAAATTTGTGTTGATTTTGCTAGTCAATAAGAAATATCAGACTCTATAGTTAAAAAGATTTAAAGGCTTACATTAGATTTTCCATTTGATTGATATCTAGGATAATGTGCAGTAGTGAAGATGGAAAAGGTTCCCATCCCCTTCTATCTCTGCTTCTGTAAGGAACAGCAAGTTCTTATGGAGTTGCATAAGGCAGAAGTCTTTGCTATCAGCTCTCTGCTCTCAGTTGCTGCATTTTCAGACCACTGTAGTCACTTAGGGACGATTGTCACATCAGTTATTGAACTGTGCCAATTTATAAGCAAAGTCATATTAGGTAATTTAGAAAGATTGTAGACACCTTAGCATCTAAGACTGTGAATTAAATAACATACTATCCACGAATGAAACAAAGCCTAAAATTAGTCACAGAATAATGTAACATAACCTGAAGACTCAAATTTGAAAGGATATGTTTTAGGCTTCTTTTACTGATCCAGTCCAGTGTTTCAGTAATGAACGTGTCGGCAGATGATTTTTTTTTTCTGTTCTCCTGATGGATAGCTGTTCTTGGTAATGAGCAGTACCCTGCTTCAGGAAAGCCCTCCCTTCCAGGGCAGCTCTTAAGCATATGCATAATTTTAGGTGTGCACAGAATCCCCACTGAAGCTGAGTGCATGCTTACAGCTGAGGATGTGCTTAAGAGCCTCCCTAAATGGGGGCCTTGATGTACAATTTAGAGGAAAGAATATATGCTGCTCAGTAGTCAAAGCAATCCAATTTACATAAATATTTATTTGTTTTCCATTATATATCATTTTTATGCAGGTGCTTGTGGGATGGATAGACGTCAGAACACATACATAATGGAAAAAAGCTTCAAAGGTATGGTATCCAGTGCCTGCAGTCACCCTGGCAAAGAGTTTGAGGAGGGTGTCGTAGAAGAGGTGAGATAGGAGACCTGAGCACCCGGGAGAGTGGCCATGCAGAGACAGAAAGGGACAGAGCAATTACCTACAAAATATGCCTGCGTGGCTCAGCTGGCAGCACTCTTGACTCCGAGCCAGATGACTGGGGCCCATGAATTATGGATGCAAGTCTTTACAAGGCCGTAGGCTCCTGCCTTGGCAAAGCAGCATAAGACAAAAAGGGAGGGCTTTGCTGCAGGGACAGGACGTGCAGGTGGAGCTGTCTGGCCAGGGGAAGCTCTTTTAGGACTTACTAGCCATCCTACAAGGGCTTTCTGGCGGCAGTTGCTGATGACAGACTGGTGCATTTGCCTGCTAAGTCGTGGCTCTGTAAGGCTCTTAGCCATCCTGAGCTTAAACAAAGCCACTAGAAAACAAGCTGACCCTGCTATATGGCCTTTGCTGAGAGAGATTTATAGCAGAGCTTGAGAAAAGACCTCACTCAGTACATTAACCAGTCACACTGGCATGAAGCAATTAATGGGCATTGACTCCAGGGCAGTTCTAAAAAGGGATCATAGATGAGTCATGAGCACAAGGCCCAATGATTTTTGATTTCAGTTGTCCTGCAGGTTTACATTCAAAATATTCCAGTTATGTATGGACTACAAGACCACTTGGCACAGTGGTCCCCACAAGCTCCCGACTGACTGGGCTGGGGTTTGGCACGCTGAACTTGCGGTCCAGAAGCTGGAGCAAGGACTCTGACTCATTCGGAATAGGCAGGTTTCAGGCTGAGATCCTTGATCAGAATTTGAGGGTGTTGTGTCTGTACACACCAGCTGGGAATGTCCCTCCATCAGCCGAGGAGATAAACACTGCACAGCCTCTTTCCATAATGTCCTTGAGCTGGTATCGGCTGAGTAATGGGGAAAATGGTACCTTCACACAGAGCTGGTTTCAAGACACCCACTGGTCTGCTATGGCTGAGGTGTTACAGAGCAAGACCTTTATCTGAACTAACAAGGAATATTGAAAGCTAGTCCACACGAAAAGCAATGACCAGCTTATAGCCAGGCCTAGAGAATGCTAATCACTTCATAGCTGCTGTTTACAAAATAAAGTGATATAATATTTACAAAAACATCACCTTACCACACAGAATCACCAAAGGAAACCAATAATCTGTGACCAAGTCTTTCTCAATAAAGCTAAATTTAAAATATTAAAAGGATTGTGTATGTATATTTGTCTCAATCCACTGGTTTCCGCTACCTCAGTGATTCTCTTTTTCAGAAAAAAAAAAATCTTATTATAGCCTAGCTAGTTGTTCTCTTTACATAGAACTATTAATTTCAAGATCAGTTTAAACTAAATTACTGTGTTTACAAACTGCTTTAAACATACATACAGTAGGAATTCCTATCCATAGACACAGTCACACAGAGAGTGGGGTACCAGTGTGAATGAGAGAAAAAGAACTACAGTAACAGTGAATTGTGAAATGTATTTTTTGCTGCTACATATTTTGTTTATTATATAGGATGTGAGCCATCTTCTTTACATGTTTATCTCCTTATGAATCGAAAAATCAGACCTAGAAGCCACATCAGGAAAGTTGCCGTGTTCTTTGTGGCTGCTCAGCTGCTGCAGACAGGCATGGCTGGCGCTGGCAAGGGCAGAGTGCCGGCGACACAGGAACACACCTGACTTCCCGGGGATTTTGGGTAGCTAACCTGCAGGTAGTTTGCAGCAGAGATTTCTCCAAAGCATCTGCCTTTGGATGGCTAAAGGTTTCCGACAGTCCAGTCTGAAGGTCAGTTTCTGGGTTCAGGCAGCCCTGGGGCTCTGGCAGCAGTATGGGCACTCCAGTCCCAGATGAGTCTCCTACCAGGAGCTGAGTGACGTGCCCGATGCTCAGTGCGCAGTGCTCCTCACCCTGCCAGGTCTTGTGTTGGCCCTGACTAGCCAAATTCATCCGAAAGATGGAGAGAAAGCATCTGCTAAGCTGGGTCATTCAGATAAAAGAAACTCCCAGTCCCAAAATTAAGATTCTGTCAGCAAAAAGGCTTGGCAGGCAGGTGCTTTGCTTTTATATACTTTTAGGCACTTTAAGGATGATGTCTTTTCCCATCAGTGTCTGCTAGGTCTAACTGCAGAAAGCCTGCCCTGCAGTCAAAAATCTGCTTTGGTGCTCCTGACCCCAGCTCAGAGCATTGCATAGGATACACTGCCAGGAAGGGGCATGGGGGTCCTGTGGCTTGAGGCTGAGTTCATGCTGTGGTGGACCTCGTTGGTCACCTGCTTCCCCCAGTTCTCCTCCGAGGAGACCAGAGCCCCCAGCTCCACAGCCCCTGCTCCACACTAGCCTGGCTGGAGGCTGTCCACAGAGCAGGGCAGCCAGGAGAGGGATGTCCCTTTTGCAACCTGCCACTAGAAATGCAGTGGCCGTGCTGCTAGTGGAGGCCGGGGGGTCAGGCATGGCCAGTTTGTGTTTGCCAGGGTCACCCACAGACAAGCCCAGCTCACGTCACAGTGTCTGACAGCTCCTTGCGCTGGCAAAGCAGCAGGAACCCTCCGGGGCAGCGAGGGGCTAGATGCCGCGATGCCGGCTCTGAGCCCCGCGGCACATGGTGACAGTGGTTGAACAGTCACAAGGTTTTCAGAGCAGTTTCTTTCCTATGCATGGTGTTCAGTGATACTATTTCCAAGCTTCTCCTTGCAGCTGAGTCCTTCTCTATTTTTTAGGGTGGTTTTTTTTTTTTTAAATGAATGCTGTTGCACTAGTGGAATAATGTGACCTCAGGCACTAACATTTTAAGGAAAAAAACCATATGCTTTGCACAATAGCCAGCAAAATCCAAGCAGTTAGAAACACTAATGCATTTAGCTCAGGAACTGGGGGCTTGGTTCAGTGTGGTTTATTTGTTTGTTGTACAGGAATGTGTCCCCACAACTGTGTCACCCTCTGAAAAGCAGCAAGAAGCTATTCCTATGTTACTATCCTAGCAGCAGCAAAGGTTAGCCAGGATAATGAAAGCAGCCAGAAAGGCACGCTACACTGAATGACATCCATAAATGTGATTAAATAATAGGAGAGCATGTTTTACCTGTGTACATCATATTTCCTTAGCACTTCAAACGTGGCAGTAGGTACTGAGGCTTGTCATTAGTATGCCAGAGGATATTCAGGGCAAAAGAGAGGAACCTGGTCTGTGGGAGGGACAAGTACATTTCCAGACCCTGGTAACAAAAATAAAACCTCCTTCAAAGGTCTGGTGATTGGTATCCAGGCAACACAGAAGACAGGGACTTCAAAATTAGAGCGTATTCCCCATATTTCTCTAGTGCGTCCAGCTGATCAGCTTACACTTGCTTACAGCGAGTGCCAGCGCTGCTGGTGGCAATGCCACAGGTTGGCCTGAGCTTTGCACTTCCATGAGAGCTCGACCCTGTGGGTACATGGGAGGATGACAAGGCAGCATCGCCAGAGCTCACACATGGCCCACAGGGTGAATGGGCTGAGAATTTCTAAATACATTTGTTCTGGGGTAAATTAATTCATGAAATGAAATTTGACAATTGATGCCAGACTTTTTAATTATCCCCAAATTACCTTAGTAAAAAAGTAACTGAGATGCTTCCACATCCTTTAGAGTTAACTCTCTGCGATCTTGCGCATAATGTGTCTTGTGGGCTAATGACTCCCTGGTGTATAGCACGTTACCAAACATACGCTGGTGCTCCATAAATTATATTGTATCTAGAGCGAAGGGTCTAATCCCTAGCTAGACACAGAGTTCCCATTTGCGTCAGCGGGAATTGGCTCTTAGGCGTGCTGTTTCTCAATATCTTCTGGGAAGAGGCAATTCCTGCGGGAGGCCAAATGAGTCTGGGCAGCCCAAGTGGTATTTCGCTGGTCTTCCCTGGGAAGGGAAGGGCCGGTGCTGTGGCTACAGCCTGAGGGACACCTGCCTGGGAGGCAGTGTCAGCCCTAGCAGCAGTACAGGTGAATTTTAGCTTAGGAAGATAAAAGTAGCTGAGCTGGACTTAATAAAATATATGATGTGCTGGGATTTTTGCCTATGCCAGCTCTGATGTGCCCACTTCCATAAACAAAACAGCGCGGACCCACGCAGCTATTTACCTGCGTGCTACAGCACCGCAGGAGCAGGACTTCTCACGCTTCCCCCTGATTTTCACTGTAGTAGCCAGCAGTTTTTTATAATCTACATTTCATGAATCAAAACCCAGCTCTGTTTTGATTTGATCCCTCCCAGCCGTGGTGCTGACAGGGAGTGCTTTGTAGTGGACTCTTGGGGTGCCGGCAGCCCCACGCTCCCACATGGAGCTCGTTTTGCCCTCTTGTCCTCGCAGGGTCTGAAAGCCACACGGACCTATTCATGCTGCCCACTTTTCTGAACTCCTGCCTTTCACCCCCATGAGCATCTGCTCAGCAGCATGGCTTGAGGCAGAGAAGCAAGTTTGCGACAGTCTTCCTGTCCTCTTGCCCCAGAATTTAGAGCTGGCTTATTAAGGGCTGCCCAGGCTCTCCTGATGAGCACTACATGTTCCTAGTAGGCACCAGAAGCTGTAACTTGCTGGCAGGTGAAGCTGAGGGGTTTTTTTGGCTAAGAATGAACTAAAAGCCTCAGGGCTGAGTCTCTGCCCCTCATCGGAGCTGTGTCCCTGGAGTAGTGAGTGCTCCTGCACTGGCGTCAGCTTGGGCAGCGCTGGGAGCTTTCAGTTCCTTGCCCGCATGAGACAGTTCACCTATGTACAACCTTCCCAGTGACTGAAGAATGGGGCCCAGTCCGTATAGCACAGATATTTTTAGCCTAAAGATTTTTATTACAGGATTTGTTAGTCTTTATCTATTGTCTCCTCACCTTTAAACACTAATGGATCCTAGACTGTGTGGCACCTTAATTTAAGCCACATACGTAGCAAAAGCTATTAACACGGAGCTCGCTTATGTGTGGAAGCCGTTGGACTTGCAGGGTTGCTCCATCGCTCATTAGAAGGACAGGATGGGACAGCTTTTCACTGACTTGCCTGTACTGGCATGGGGTTGGTAAAGCTGGAGGGCCAAACCCTGATGCCAACAGCTGGGTAATATTTGTGTTGCTTTGGTTCCTGGCTCCTGTGATGTACAAAACCAGATGCGTTTCACTTTGAAGCAAAGGCATTGTTAATCTCACCCAGGCTGAAGTCAGATGAGGACTTTCTTAACTTTATTACTAACTAAACATTGCACTGGTGCCACGGCCTCTGCCAGGCCTCATGTCCCTGATGGTCCCAGCATGGTCCAGCTGGTTGCTTTGCAGCAGAGCTTCCTACCAGGCTGGTTTCACTAACCCTGAGAGCTGAGGACTCTAACGATTTGCTCATACCACTGAAATTGGAGGACAGAGATGCAATAGCTTGCTACAGGCTGCAGGGCAGGACCTGATGCCTGCTCAGTGCTATCCCCCAGCTGAGCCAAGATGAAGGACACCAGGGCGCGGGGGCTGATGGACACACACACACACACACACACAGACACAACCCCAGAGCTGATGGAGGGAGCATTGCACCACAGAGTGAAGCAAACCTCACAAGTGAGTTAGCAGGATGGGGCGGATAGGCACAGAGACAAAGTTTGTAAAGGAGAAGCGATATCTTGTTGTCTGTCTATTTCTTAACCTGAATTTCTCTTTTTGTCTCCCATACTAGATAGCGGGGGCAGCTGGGATTGCAGCTATTTTGCAAGTCCCGCTATTTCACCGGGAGTATTTCATATATACCAGGATCTGCCTTTGTACTGTAACCCAGCACAAGAAAATGCCTCATCTTTCATTGCATCGCTCTAATTCTAAATTAATGGCACTGCCCAGCAGGATGCACACAGCAGCAATGGCACGTTCTTGAATGTCAATGTTAAGACCTATTTATTCTCTGTTGGGTTTTTTTTTTTTATTTTTAAAGCAAGACTGGCACTGTACCTTGCAGCAGGCTGGCACACCCCAGCCAGGGTCACCGACAGGGGAGACCGGTGGTTACAACTCTCATGCCAAGCTTGTTGTCCCCGTGTAGCACCTCCTCCGTCACCATCTCCCGTTTTCTCCAGCCTAGGGGAGAGGAGCAGTAGATGTCTACAGCAGTGGGGGGGGGGGGGGGGGGGCAAAG